AAGCTAGAAGCATTAGAAAGGTTTTCATCTTTTTCTCCCCAAAATTCCCCTTATTAGTGTCTGTTGAAGAAAACATAGTTTCTATGTTCGTAGAGTTATTTTTGGACTTTTTTCGGCTATTTTCCTAAAAGTCCGCAAGTTTTGTCCGCAATTTTATTTTTAAGGAAAATAAATATTTTGTGGGGTAGAAATCACAACTTTTGCTAAGTAAGCCTATTGATTTCATTATTTGAAAGTAACCATCTATGTTCTTTTAGAAAATAAAAATGCTGACTTGCGGACATTTTTTGCGGACAAAAATTTTTTTAATTTTCAGATTTTGGTAGCAACAAATGGTATAGCTGCAGTTAAATGTATTCTTTCTATGAGAAAATTGTTGAAGCAATTCTTCCGAAATGACAGAATTATTGAATTTGTTTGTCTAACTACTGAACAGGAAATTCAGTCAAAAGCAGGTTTGTGGAGGAGATTTTAAAGGGTTTAATAGGTTTTAGTGATCGAGATTTTTGAAAAGCCTGTGCCAGCTCCTGGGTAGTTCTAGGGCTGATTTCTTGCCTGAGCCTGTGTCCAGACCCAGCTCGATCACTAATAGGTTATACATAAGTCGTATAGGCATGATGCTGTATTACAAAAACCGTCGAAATACCAATCTGAGGAAATACTGTCATTCCAAATTGTTTAGCAATCTTCCCCGTCGTTGCTGAAGCGACTTTCCCTTCTTTTTCCAACGTTTGGTATTTCGGCGTTTAGTATTATGTACGACTTGTTCTCGTTTTTAAGTCGATACAATTTCTTGTGGGCAGGGGAGTAAAACAAATTCATTCCTAGTTAAAGTATAGGTATTTTTCTACAAATATCAAAAAAGTCCGCAAGATTTGTCCGCAAATGTCTTTTGTAGATACATCTTTTTAGAATCGTTCTCAAAAATATCTACGGACAATTCCTGTTATTTTTTAAGATTTTTGTTGCTAGTCAAAATATTAAATTCCTAAAACTGCCAAACCAAAAAAAGTTCGCAATAGTTGTCCGCAAAAATTATATTTTCTTCAAATTTTTCAGAATTTCTAAAAATGGCCGATTATCTCGTTTCCTCCTTAGCCGGTGAAAATACAAATAATTATGCAAGTGTTGATGAAATTGTTGAACACGCAACACGAAACAACGTCGATGCAGTCTGGGCCGATTGGGGACATGCTAGCGAAGATCCTCGTTTACCCGAAGAATTGAGCACAAAAAATATTGTTTTTATTGGCCCTCCGAGAAAAGCAATGTTTGCTTTACGGGATCAAATTGCTAGCACGATTATTGCTCAGGTTTGTTGATTTTTTTATTTTCCGGAGAAAATATATTTGCGGACAAAATTTTTTGCGGATTTATTCTTACTGACAAACTTTACAGATTTTTTCGAGTAAATTGTTAGAACAATTTTTTGGAGATTGTCTTTTGTGGAGTTTTTTGTTAAAAATATTTCTTGAAAAGGTATTTGCGGAAAGCTTTTGCGGACTTCCTTCTAGGAACTAAGTTCTAAAAGTTTATGGGTGGGGATGATTTAATTGCAAAAATTCAAAGAGACTTAACTTATTAAAAAATTGTCCGCAAAAAATTTATCCGCAAAAAATGCGCGCTAATAATGACCGCAAAGATTCTTTTAAATCCGCAAAAAATCTAGGAATCCGTAAGAAAATATCCGCAAAAATTTGTCCGCAAAAACTTCGGACCTTTAGAAAAAATTATTTTTTTTCAAATTTAGACAGTAAAAATCCCAACATTACAATGGTCTGGAAGTGGATTAGTAGTTGAATCAACTGGAGAAGAAAGCAAAGAAGGGGGAAGCGAATTAGAAGTCTCCGAAGAATTGCATTTAAAAGCTTGTGTCTCAACGCCTGAGGAAGGCTTGGCATCAATGAAGGAAAAAAATATTTCTTACCCAGTAATGATAAAAGCATCTGAGGGAGGTGGTGGAAAAGGAATTAGAAGATGTATTAGTGATGAAGAATTTCGTCTAAATTTTGTAAGAGTGCAAGATGAGGTGCCGGGAAGTCCTATTTTCTTGATGAAGTAAGTGTTTATTTGGGGAGTAGTTTGCTATGTCATTTACATAAATAGTCATAGGAATTTTTGTAGTTGTTCAAGAGCTTTGGAATTTTGAATATATATTCTTTAGAGTGTTTCTTAGTAAACCCCAAAATTTGAGAATTTTGGGTTATTCAGAGAGTTGTGATTTTTCAAAAATTTGTTGTTGAAAACGATGTATTTCCGGTTTATTATTTAAATCTGAATAGCCTTTTATTCTTTCCGGAACAATCCATTATTCTATTTTCCGGAAAGTTTATTTACCGGTTTCTTAAACTTTTTTTTTCGGATTTATAGTATACTTCCTTCCCGGTTGTAGTAAATTAAAATTCCGGAGCAAACACTTAGAACGAATTGCTATGTTTTTCCGGAAAATTAATTCTAGTTTTATTGAAACATAAAACAAAGTTTTTTCTTTCCGAAAAATACAAGGCAGCCCGTTATTCATATTCTATTTTCTGGAAAAATAATTAAAATTAATTCTTTTTTCTCTACCCCTCTAGATGTATGGTCAATGCAAGACATATAGAAGTTCAATTAATTGGGGACCATTACGGCCAAGTAATTCCAATATTTACCCGTGATTGTTCAATACAAAGGCGTTGTCAAAAAATAATAGAAGAAGCCCCAGCAGGAATTGCCTCACCAGAAATTCAACGGCAAATGCAAATGAATGCTGTTTATTTAGCAAAAAAAGTTGGTTATGTTAGTGCTGGGACTGTTGAGGTTTTTATTTTGTTATTAAAAAATTTTTTTCCAGAACCCCGCAAAAATTGTTTGCAAAAAATTTTTAAAAAAAATTTTTCCTTTTTATAGTTTCGGGCATATTATCGTTCACCTCCTCCCCTCCATCTATTTTTAATTTTTATTTACGAGGTACTCTTTAGGATTACAGAATTGTTTTTGGCTCTAGGGTTCAGACTGAAAAACCAAAATCAGTTTTTCCACTACAAAATAGTGCGGGCCCCAAATATTTGAGGAAGAAAATTTTTTTTTATTTTAACGGCAATTATTCCCATTATATTTTGTGAATTTTCTTGCAACTTTTCTTAATGACTTTTAGAAAATCCGCAAAAATTGTCCGCAAAAAATTTTTTCAAAAAAAATTTTTTTTTTAAATTTTTCTTTTTAATTTCCAGTACATGTATTTACCATCAGAACAAAAATATTATTTTTTGGGATTCAATCCACGTCTTCAAGTAGAACATCTATGTACTGAAATGGTTGCAAATATAAACATTCCAGCTATACAACTTCAAATTGCTATGGTTATACCTTTACATAGAATAACTGAAATTCGTCTTTTTTATGGAATGGATAGATATGGGTATTTTTTATATAGAAAAAATTTTTTTGTGTTTTTAAATGTGGGTTTAGAGCTTGTAGAGCAAAGGTTCTCAACCAGGGGTGGACGCAATTGCGGATTGCATGAAATTGCGTGTTTTTTGACTTGTGTATTGCGGTCAAGGCAAATTTTTTTCAATTGCGTCCACCCCCTGTTCTCAAACCTTTACTTTTTTCCGTCCCAACCGAAGGATTATTTTGAGCCCCCCCCCCCCCCCCCCCCCGAAATGGAAGAAAGGGGGAAAAATCAAGAGAAGGATGGATACCAGGGTTCGGTATTCTTGTCAGAATTTTTTTAGCTGTCCAAATTTTTTTGGTTTTGGGTATCTCGCTCGACAACCGTATTTTTAAATTATAGCTAAAAAAATTTTTTCAAAAATTTTTTAAAAAAATTTTTTCAAAAAAAATTTTTCAAAGAATTCACCTTTGCCTCAAAATCAATGCCGTATAGACACAAATATTCATGTTATTGAAAGAATTAGAATTGTGTGCTACTTTTACTTCTCAAGTAAATTATTTGGTTGGCTTATTACACGATAAAGAATTTTGAAAATAATGAATTTCATACGGGTTCCGATTTTTTGTTTATTGTGATATTTTGTATTTTTATTGTAATTTTTGACTTTTCTGTTTTTTTGTGTATTGTTTCTAGTTTATTTTGTTAATTTTTTTTATATGTTTGAAATTAAAAAAAATTTCTTTTAATTTAATTAAAAAATAATTTCTAATTTTTTAAATTAAAATTTAATACTTTATTAAAATCTTTCCAAATAAATTTAACAGTCCATTCCTTTTAATTTCAGGGAAATTCCATGTTAAACGTCACCAATGTCGACATTCTTGTTAGCGCGACCGAGAGAGATGGTACACAAGTCAAACAACCTCTACAAGTTGTTTTTGAGAAAGTTGCTTTTATCTGCAACAATTTGTATACTAATAACCTCATGGAAAAGGTTTTTTTCTTTATAAAAATATTGGACTTTTTTCGAACAAAACTAACATTTCACGGTACTACTCCGTTATCCCTACCCGTTTTTGCGGACTTTTTTGCGGACATTTTTTCCTTCTGCAGTCTGTACATTGTCAGACTGCCTTCTCCCTTTCCATGTCAAGCAATCAAACGATTAAATTTAGTGAATAAAAGATGAGTAAATGATGGAAACCGAACAGTCTAACTTTTTTACATATTTTTTACATTTATTAGCTATTGATTTTATACTGAAAATTTGGGACTTGCCGGCAACCGAAAAAGATTCCATCGGATTTTTCATATCCGTAATCTTCTACACAAAACAAGACAGTGCCGTAATGGTCATGAGATGAAATTGTACCACAAACTACGTCCAGTTTGGCAATGTTAAACTTCGTACCCCCACCACCTATTGCAAATAGAAGAGACGGTCCAAACACCCAATGTTGACACTGGTTCTTAAAAATAAAGATGGGTACCACTTTCTGTAGCAAAAAAAATGGGGAGGGGGCACAAAGTTCAATATTACCATTTATTGATCAAAAGACTGGGTGTAATACTCAAAAACAGCACGACATCATTTGTAGAGTTGTTTTGCCGAGTTTATTTGAAGGAATATGGAGGAGAGGAGAGGCGGAAATATTGCCGATTGGAATGATTCTTTCTTTTATAATTTTTCTCTCTATATTTTCTTTTTATAAATAAAAGTTGTCCGCAAAAAAGTCCGCAAGAACGAGTAGGCATAACGGAGTAGTACCATTTCACATATTTCCCGAAAAATTCACAAAACATTTTCAGACCCAAGAAATCAACGAACTCATGAAGGAAGGCAACCATTTTAACAAATTATTTGCTAAATATTTTGTTACGAAGCTTGTAACTGCACGCAAAACAAATGAAGATCCTTCTGAAGCTTTTCGTCCAGCGAGTTTAATGAAAGGCGAACTAGTTAAAATTAAAACAAACCAAAAGAAGCCAACGCTTATCATCAATAATTTTAAATTGTATTATAAAAAAGAAAAATAAATGGAGATCATATTTTTGTTTGTCACTTAGATGGTTGCAATGGCAAAATGGCATCAGAAACTGATGCACCAGTAGAAGTTTTTGTGAGAGAAATTATTGAGAATTCTAAAGAATGCTTATTATTGGTAAAATTTTAGACACAGACGCCCATAATTTCATTCTAAAATTCTTTTTTAAAGTGGTAGTGGTCCCTAATTGATTACGACATGGCGCTCCTGGGTGGATTCGAACCACCAGTTCAGCGAGTTTAATGAAAGGCGAACTAGTTAAAATTAAAACAAACCAAAAGAAGCCAACGCTTATCATCAATAATTTTAGATTGTATTATAAAAAAGAAAAATAAATGGAGATCATATTTTTGTTTGTAAAACAAAACCTTGCAAAGGGAGAATGGCATCAGAAACGGTTACATCAAAAGAAGTTCTTTTTAGGAAAATTGAAGAGCATTCTGATGAATGTTTATTATCAACTACTGGAGGAAGAGATTCTACACAAAACAAGACAGTGCCGTAATGGTCATGAGATGAAATTGTACCACAAACTACGTCCAGTTTGGCAATGTTAAACTTCGTACCCCCACCACCTATTGCAAATAGAAGAGACGGTCCAAACACCCAATGTTGACACTGGTTCTTAAAAATAAAGATGGGTACCACTTTCTGTAGCAAAAAAAATGGGGAGGGGGCACAAAGTTCAATATTACCATTTATTGATCAAAAGACTGGGTGTAATACTCAAAAACAGCACGACATCATTTGTAGAGTTGTTTTGCCGAGTTTATTTGAAGGAATATGGAGGAGAGGAGAGGCGGAAATATTGCCGATTGGAATGATTCTTTCTTTTATAATTTTTCTCTCTATATTTTCTTTTTATAAATAAAAGTTGTCCGCAAAAAAGTCCGCAAGAACGAGTAGGCATAACGGAGTAGTACCATTTCACATATTTCCCGAAAAATTCACAAAACATTTTCAGACCCAAGAAATCAACGAACTCATGAAGGAAGGCAACCATTTTAACAAATTATTTGCTAAATATTTTGTTACGAAGCTTGTAACTGCACGCAAAACAAATGAAGATCCTTCTGAAGCTTTTCGTCCAGCGAGTTTAATGAAAGGCGAACTAGTTAAAATTAAAACAAACCAAAAGAAGCCAACGCTTATCATCAATAATTTTAAATTGTATTATAAAAAAGAAAAATAAATGGAGATCATATTTTTGTTTGTCACTTAGATGGTTGCAATGGCAAAATGGCATCAGAAACTGATGCACCAGTAGAAGTTTTTGTGAGAGAAATTATTGAGAATTCTAAAGAATGCTTATTATTGGTAAAATTTTAGACACAGACGCCCATAATTTCATTCTAAAATTCTTTTTTAAAGTGGTAGTGGTCCCTAATTGATTACGACATGGCGCTCCTGGGTGGATTCGAACCACCAGTTCAGCGAGTTTAATGAAAGGCGAACTAGTTAAAATTAAAACAAACCAAAAGAAGCCAACGCTTATCATCAATAATTTTAGATTGTATTATAAAAAAGAAAAATAAATGGAGATCATATTTTTGTTTGTAAAACAAAACCTTGCAAAGGGAGAATGGCATCAGAAACGGTTACATCAAAAGAAGTTCTTTTTAGGAAAATTGAAGAGCATTCTGATGAATGTTTATTATCAACTACTGGAGGAAGAGATTCTGCATTTTCAGCGTTGCCTGCCTTTTCTTCACAACAAGCTTTGCAGCTGCCTTCAAAAAGTTCTGTTCAAACTCCTGCAATTCCTGATTTTAATTATGCCGATTTGAATATTTTTACTCAATCAGGTTTTTAATTAAGATTTTAATTGGGAATTACTAGTGTCTAAAAAACTTTGAAAAAAAATTTTTTACTCTTTGATAGGTCTTATGCAAAATACAACAAGTCCACCTACAACTCCATTTGTTCCAGCTACACTTATCTCTTTATTACCCGATGTCCGTCCTCGTGCTCCAATTACTTTGCCAAATATGCTTCCTTCTCATCCTTCACAATTGCAACATTCAACAGCAATTATGGATGGAGATAGAATTCAAATGAATTCAAATTCTCTATTTCCTGATAAAAATACTTTTAACTCTACAAATCTTGGATTAAGAAAAATGAAAGAAGATCAGATACGAATTGAACAACAGCCACATTATGAAAAAAAGCGGCGTAAACGAAAACGGAAATCAATATTAATTATTGACGAACAAATAAGTTTAGCTGATGAGGAAAATATGGCTGATTATAGGTATTTTTAATAATTTATATATTTTATAATATTTTATTTTTTATAATATAATAATTTTATAATATTTTCAGTGACACACTGCTTGATTTGGCACCCCCAAAAAAATTTATGCGTTCTCAGAAAAATTGTCAACTCGAAAAGATTTTAATGATGCCAGCTAATGCAAAATGGATTTTGGATCCAGAGATTATTCGCGTTAGTTTTTTTGTTTCTTTGGAATTTTTGTGAGGGAAAAAAATCTTTTAAGATATATCAGTCGCGTTTGGAACTCCATGCTGCTGATGCTAATGATATTCCTGAACGGAATTTGGAACTGTCTGATTCAAATGTTGAAGAAGCTTCTCCCTCTAATATTCCAATGACTGGACCTAATTGATTACGACATGGCGCTCCTGGGTGGATTCGAAACACCAGCCTTTCGGTGGATTGTAAATATTTTTGTCAAATATTTTTGTCAAAAATATTTTAATTGATGAGGAAATCAGACCCAAAAAAATTTATGCGTCCTCACAAAAATTGTCAATTCAAAATGCTTTTAATGATGCCAGCTAATGCAGAATGGATTTTGGATGGATTTTTGGATGTATTTTGGATGGATGATTTTTGGATGGATTTTGGATCCAGAGATTATTCACGTTAGTTTTTTTGTTACTTTGAAATTTTTGTAGGGAAGAATATCTTTTAGATATATCGATCACGGTTGGAACTCCGTGCTGCTTATCCTAATGATATTGCTGAATACGATTGTTGGAGACGAATGTTCTCGGGTAGAGGTTTAATAATTTTTTGAATAAAATTTGTAAAGTTTTTTAGGATCGTCCTGAAAGTGCGCCTGTTGTAACCAACGAAAATCAGACAGTTGCTGGAGAAGACTTCTCGGGTAGAGGTTTGTAAATTTTTGAATAAAATTTGTAGTTTTTTAGGATCGTCCTGAAAGTGCGCCTATTGAAACCAACGAAAATCTAGTTTCAGAACTAGAAATGGAACAATACCAGGCTGCCATACGAAAACTTCTTGGAGAAAACCTTCCGGTGAAGAGCCTAATGGAAGATTCCGGTGACGTTGTCTTTGGATTATGGAAGGATTATGGAACGTTGTACAAAGAATTTTGTTTTATTTAGACATAATTTATTGATTTGAGCGTTCATAAAAATCTAATGGAAGATTCCGGTGACGTTGTCTTTGGATTATGGAAGGATTATGGAACGTTGTACAAAGAATGTTTAGCTGTGAAACTTGCGGAAGAAATTTAAGCAAGAAAAACTTCATGTTATTCGAATCTATCACAATTTCAACATCCAACATCAAATATGGATGGAGATAGAATGCAAATGATTGAAGACAGATATCGCAAAGCAAGTTAGAGATTATTTTGAGGATTTTTTTGGATTTTCTCCTTGTTGGCTAGGTGATTTACCTTTTCAAAGTACAGACGGTTCCAAGGTTTAGGTTCCTGACGTGAATGTTACGGATTACCTGAAGGAAAAGAAAAAAAGAAATTATCTTTTTCAGAACTCAACGACCGTTTTGTTTACTAGAAAATTTTTGAAAGTCAAGCGACGGCCACAACCTCCACAGAGCAAAGGAAAATCTATTCGACGTGTAGTCTTGGTCAGGGGTGTAGAAACTGCAGCAAATTTGGCTCAATGCGTCAACTCTGAGACGTTATCCCGTCTTCGTACGGTGATTTGTTTGTGAAACAGAACATTGCAAAGGGAGAATGGCATCAGAAACGGATACATTAGGAGAAGTTCTTGTTAGGGAACAGCAGCAACTTGAACAGCAGCAACATCATGAAAGAATGCGGCGCAAACGAAAACGAATTGATAATTATTGACGAACAAATAAGTTTAACTGATGAGGCTAATATGGCTGATTATAGGTATTTTTAATAATATTTTATATATTTTATAATATTTTATTTTTTATAATATATTTAATAATAATTTTATAATATTTTCAGGGACACACTCCAACCGCTTGATTTGGCACCCCCAAAAAAATTTATGCGTCCTCACAAAAATTGTCAAATCAAAATGCTTTTAATGATGCCAGCTATTGCAGAATGGATTTTGGAGCAGAGATTATTCGCGTTATTTTTTTTGTTTTTTGTAAATTTTTGTGAGGGAAAAATTATTTTTTAAGACATATCAATCACGATTGGTACTCCTTGCTGCTGATGCTGATGATATTGCTGATTTGGAACTGTCTGATACAATTGAAGAAGAGCGAGAATTACGAAAGTCTATGGAGGCATCATAGGAAATGATTATATTTTTCAACAATTTTATATTATATTATAATAAATTTAAAAAATGGTGATTTTGTCTTTGTTTGTAAAACTATTTGTGTTAAGGGCGATATTTGTGTATTAGGGGGGATATCGAAAGAATTTTTTAGAAAATTTGTAAACTCAACGTCATTTACCTCACACTCGAAATTTTATTATTTTTGTTTAATAAATTTATTAGAGCAAACGATTCTGTGATTAAATTCCCATCAATTTTTTTAAAACTAAACGCCAAACTTTTATGTATTTTTGATAAAAAGAGGATTTCTGACTTTTGGCCTTCAAAAATTTCGGTATTTTGCCTGTTCCGTAAACAATTATTAATTCTAGTTTCTAGGCCTTTATACATTATAAAAATCTTAGCGTTATGCGTTCACCTGAACAGATTTTTGACTTTATTGGTTTGGCGTATTTTAAAAATTTGAAAAATCAGTACTTTGATTAAATTTAAAATAAATTTTTGATAAATATTTTATTAATACATACATCATTTTAAATAGACCAGATATAAAAATTTTAGAATAAATGTTAATATTATCTTTATCGTCATTATTTACACTTTGTAGCTATTTATTCTAACATTTGACCAACCCATAAGCTGCTTTTCTACATTTGTCAATATTTGTAACTCCCTAAAATTATAACTAAATTTTACAAGCCCAGGAAAGGTCGTTGGAAATTTGGTCTGAATTTTTTGGGTGGAATTAGCTACCAAACTACACCTTCCTTACAGTATATTGTTATATACTGTGCTTGGAAACTTCAGAGTTGCTCGTACTCGTACTTCATACAACCCCTACTTTTGGCCACGTGCCACGTACTCTTACTTCATAACGTTTTAAAAGTACTAGTACGAGTACGAATTTTGGTACAAGCTTCCAACCATCGGTTATATGTTATACTTTAATGATCGAACAATCATTATCCAAGACCAAATTTCCTGACCCCGTCTTTATAAATAAATTTTTAATTTACTTTTATGCAGCTACAGTAATCGTTGTCACACTGTAGAGTTATATCTTGATGGTAACATCTGAAGGATAATTTTTATGGTACTTTTCTTGCTATCTTCACCAATTTTACTTATTTTCCTTCCCCCTTTTCTTCTTTAAAACAAGCAAATAATGCCACAGAAATCTATTGAGATAAGGACCTGGAATCAGAACATATGATACGATATTTTACGCTTGGTGCGTAGAAGGGATGTTAAGGTTGAGAAGAAAAGTTGCTCGGGTTTCGTGTTAGGTCTTTACGATTTTCTTAGGATCTGGGTTCAGGTCTTGTTTGTCTCAGTCAGGGAGAATCGGAAAGACTATATCGGGGGGGGGGTGTCCTGACGAGTGAGTACCCAAAAATGAGTACTCTCTATAGCGTTCTCAACTGTCTGGTACCCATTTTTTTCATTTAAATTCAAATATCACGAACTTCTCACGCTTGTCGCAACATGTTGTCAATGAATCTACATATTTGTAAATTAATTTTAAAAATATAAAATTATTGTCTTACCAATAATCGCATTATTATTGTTGCAAACACCCATAAATCTACTCTAAATTTAATTTTATAAAATAATTTAAAGTTAAGTACCTTGTCCCAACTACATTTACAATATACTTGAGAAATAATTATTAGTAAAGATATAATAATTTGAAAAATAGATTTCATTATGATAAAGCTCTAGAATTAATTTTTAATGATCGAACCTCACTAAAAAATCCCCGATATAATATTCGATTAAACCCTATTACTAATCCAAATGGTTTTCATACATCAACGAAAGCTTTATAAGGAGTTTTGACTTAATTGAAAACATACTAAAACTGGACCTCATTATAAGCACGCCTTAGGATTGAAATAATAGTGTATTATAATGAGGTGTAGTTAAATAGAGGAAATTTTTTGGGCATACCTTAATACGTTGGCCCATATGATTTTAAAAACTTTTCTTAAATAAATGTGCATCTAATATTTGGATTAATATTGTGGGTATCTTAGATAGAGAGTATTCCTTGGGTATCTCCTCCACCCACCGGCCAAACACAATTTTAAAAACGTCTATTAAAGGTATTGAATAATGGGATTATCTTATAACAAGGACTATCTAATAATGAGGTATATTTTAAATAGGAATTTTCAGTTGGGTATCTCCTCTATCCATCAGCCCAACAATTTTAAAATTTTAAAAACGATGGATTAGCTTATACTGAGGCTCAAATTTAAATGAATTTTTGAATACTAAAATTGACTGCCTATTAAAGCTTCTATATATCCCTCTTTTTTTCTGACGCAAATTAAATTAAAATTTATAGCATGTAGTTTATTACTTGAGATTTTTAAAGAAATTTTAGTATTTTTTGGCTATTTAAATTTAAAAATTAAAAATCAATCAACGTTTCTTACTCAAAAAATATTTTTCTCAATAAAATAAATTTTTATTATAAGCTAAACAAACAGAAAAAAAATTTTAGAAATTAATATTTTATATAAAAAAAATTTTTTATTAAAAAATTCCACGTTTTTTGGGGGAAATATCAGCTTAAAAAATAAAAAAAATGCTTTTAATAAATTGATTGTTTGAATTATGAATTTAAAAAATTTATTTAAAAATTTATTTAGAAAATTTATTAAAAATTTAAAAGGATGTATTATTCTTTTTAAGAGGTCGAAGAGAGTTCGAATCGTTGAAAAATTTCCAAAAAATGGTTTTTTGATTCATAATACTGGTTAAGTGCATGTGACAGCACTTGTAATAGCTAGAGATCCGACTGGGAGTGTCGTATGAGAATCGAGAATAAAGCTCTCGAAAAAAAATCTCGATCTTTATAAAATATTTTTGATGGAGATCTCGTCACGTTCCGGTATCTGATCAAAACCTATTTCAAGGCCCAAAATGCCAAAAAAGTTTTCAATACGTGACATGATAGATTATGGCCGGTTCGACCTCCGGCTTAGAGTAAAATAGGTTTACCTCACCTACAATTTCCTGACCCATCTCTTTTTCTTATAATACGATCCTTTTTATTTATATATTATAAAGGTCATTAGATCATCATTTCCGGTTATTTATACATGTATAATTAAAATACCTATATTTGAAATTTAATTTTATGTTAACTTTTAAAGAAATTCATTTTTAATAATTAGAATTTTCAATTAAGGTCGTTTGTTAATTAAGGTCGTTTGTGCGTCTTAGCGTTCTTGGCAGGTCTGCACAAAATTCTTAGCAGGTCTGCACACATTCAGCCTAGAAGGTCTGCACAAAAGTCGGATACCCACAATAATTGGGTCCGGCTGTAGTAATAACCTCAACAAAAATTTAATAATTTTTCATAATAGGGGTGACGCAAAAGCGTGATACCTTATACAAAACCATAGTTTTTGCATTCTTAGTAATCACAAACTTTAAAAATATAAAAGAATTTTTGGAAATATTTTATACAAAAGATTAAATATAAAATTTACAAAAGAATTAAAATAGGGAAGAAAATACTAGATTTTAAATGGACAGAATTAAATAAAAGAATTTTGGGAATTTTTTTGGGTTTTGTGTGTTTTTAGATTTTTTTTGATTTTTGGATTTTTATTTTTTTAGTTTTTAAGGGGTCTATAAATTTATGTTATGTGATTTTTGAATATAATTTTTTGGATTTTTTAATTTTGTCTGTTTTTTGGGAGTTTTAAATTTTAATTTTTTTTTTGGATTTTTTTCCTAAATATAAAGATTTTTTTCACAATTCTTAAAGTGACTACTAGGTCGGTTCATAAAAAAGTTTCGTGTTTTGTTATCGCGTGTTTTTGAGTGATAAGTTATCACTGATAACCTCCAGTTTTCTATTAAATGAATGCCCCTACAGACCACTTAACTTTGACGACCTATCATACCCCAAAGCATTTTTGTTGTAAAATGCTACCCCTCTCCCTTGTAGCCCTGAGTTTGCTCTATCAGAATAACATCATTTCACTTCTTTTAAAAATTTCTTGCGGGACGGGCACTTGACTGAAGACTACAAGATCGAGACTGCATTGGGGTAGACAGTGTATCAGAAATGTGGTCATATTTATTAAAGAGGGGTATCCACAACTTTTTTCTGTTTTAAAAATGTTGCTAAGACTCGGGGCAATTATTTGTACAGTTAGATTTTTATCTGTTTGAGTTTGCTTGAGATTTGTCGATTTTTCTTGGAAATTTTATTTGGGGAAAAAACGAACTTTTTTATGAACACCTAGTAATAAGAAATTAAAATAGTAAATAAAAATAGGGTACTTTTCCGTTTTGTTACACCCCCATATATTAATGCTCAAAATGTCACATATGTATAAGGTAATAAAAGGTGCTGAGTCGAACGGTACCTTTTTTTTCCCAGGAGATGTCTGTGGACCGAGATATAGGGCTCGAAATGGTCAAAAACCATAGAGGGGAGTAAGTTCATTTTTGGGGTAAAAATTCGAATATACAAATAATCCAAACTTGTTCGAAGAAGGTGATTTTGGTGTCATTCAACTCAGCTCGTCAAGCTCTTTCGAATGAGCTATTATTTGCATATGCAAATTTTTTACCCCAAAATGGCCCAATGGCTTTTGACCATTTCGAGCCCTTTATCTCAGTTCACAGACATCTCCTGGGAAAAAGAAGGGTACCGACCGACTCAGCACCTTTAATTACCCTATATGTGACATTTTAAGCATTAATTTAGGGGGGTGTAACAAAACGGAAAAGTACCAAAAATAGCATTTTTGTAACTAATTATGTTTGCCATGTGTAACGTTCCACACGGAAACCGAGACCAACTTTACGAAATTTCTCAACTATTTTAGCAACCTCTGGATGCATTTCAATTTTCATAACTTCACGACATATTGGACAGCTCTTATGATTTTTACTCTCGCCCTCATTAAGCCATTTCATTATACACTCTTGATGGAAAAAGTGACCACAATTAGTCATTTCAATTTGTTTATCAACTTCCGTATAACCCTCATATTTTTCAAAACAGATTGCGCAGACAGGTTGTTTATTTTCCATAGCTTCTTCAAATACTATCTTCTTCATTTGTTTCTAGAACGAGATTAAAAGTTTATATATTCAACAATGTAATCATTAGGGTGTCAATTTACATGGAAATTCATATTTTCATAATTCCTATGACTATAAAATGTACGAAAAACATGTTTTTAGCTTGTTTTAGGGCTTCCAAAATGGTCGTTAAAATCCAATTTTCCTTATTTTATTTTCTTTTTTGAATATTTTGGTCAATATTTGGTCATTTTTAGGTAAATTTTGTTAAAAATTGGCGAAAATTTTCAAATTCTACATAAAATACTGATTTTTAAAATATCTTTTCATATTTTTTATGCATATTTAGTGTTTATTTCCATATTTATATCCATATTTCAGGATTTTACATCCATATCTTATGACCATATTTTTCTATTTTATAAAATGCACCCTAGTAAATGGCACCCTAGTAATCATTTTCTATTAAAAAAATATTTCTTCCTCAATACTAAAAGTTTTCCGGACACACTAAACTAAAAAACTTACCCCAGCATTAGTTTTAAGTGTTTTACGAATCTCCTCAGTATAGGCTTCGCAATAGTCATAAATTTTCTTCGCGGCTGTCCCAGTTCTAACCATTTCTTTTACTGCCTTTTTTTGATCTTTATCTGATTTTTTTTCCTTCATTAAAATTTTGTTTAGAAGATCCTTATACTAAAAATAATTTATGAATCCCGTTACAAAATTTATAAATAGATTGTAAGAGGTTGAGGTTACTGTAAACCCCAGACTGAGAATTACCGAGACTGGCAAAGCCCAGATCAAGAGAGAATTTTAACACCGATACAGACCCAATAATTTGAAAGTATCAACCATTGTCTCGAAAAAGTGCCCACATCAAGCGATATCGGTATATAAGTAAGCTGGGTCTAAGTGTTTGTACTATCTTGTACAAATACAATACGCACACCCTTGGTAAATTTAATTAACCTTTCTAGAAATGAAAGGACACTCTTGCTTAGAAAGTTCTTCCATCTCGAGTTTATTATCTACATATTCTTCGTATTCAGCTAAAGTTGTTGAACCAAATTTTTCAAACAATTCTTTAACAATACGTCTAAATTCAAGGTCATCTACGTGACTAGAACTCGAACTTGAAGCTTCAACGCCGCCTGAACTTGAAGCTTCAACGCCGATTGGAGGTGAAACTTGAATATACATTAAAATGAATAAAAGAATTGTTGGTCTATAAGCTTACTCTCTGGTACTGAAGGTTCAACCCCAGTTGAACTTGAAGAGCCAACATCACTTTCTCCAGCCACACCAGATCCGCCACCAACACGTCTCGGTCTTGAAGCTCCATGACGTCCTCGACGCCGAGATCCACCACCGCTTGAAGTTACAAGTTGTATAAATATCAAAAAGCAAAACAGGAATGATTTTGACATTTTGAATGAGTGAGAATTTCAAGATTTTAAATATATAAAATTAAAAAAATTATTTTAGCTAAGAATTGTTAGAATTTAAAAGTTGTTGGTATGGACCAGAACCGAAAAACAAAAGTTTTTCAGTTAGGATTATCAGTTCGTAAAGTTTGCCAAAGAATTTGGCAAACCCCTTAATGTCATAAAGGTTTAATAGTAAGTTTGTGCCCAGTCTTGTTCGTGAGTGAGATCCG